ACTTCGTTTATTGTCAGGTAAACCTGTTGTTTGTGACATTGGCATTCAAGTGAGACGCTAAGTTAGATAGAATGCAAGGTCATTTGCTATACCTGTTTGCATCACAATTATGAGGTATAGTCTGAGTTATAGGAAGAGAATTGTAAAACTGCTTAGTTTGGTCAAATTAGCGGTTTCCCGCATCGTGTTACTAATATAAAGTATAAACCCTGAGGTTGTCCGGCAAGATGTACAAATTATTAATCAAAACACACAGTTCTAGCCAGAAAATAATAAAAAAATACTCTCATAGTCTCTTAAAATCATTGTTGTGAAAGGATAAGACGCCCGATTTACTCTTTATGTCAAAAATCAAATTCCCCCAAAAAAGTAAAAGAAATATCTAAGGAAATATGTTAACGTCACGCAGGAACCTCGTGCAAAGAAAATTAAATCCGCAAATATTAAACAATACAATTATTACAATTGAAAGGTCAATTTCGAAGTGGGTACCGGTGTTCACGTTATAATAAAAGAATTTCATATCATCTAGTAGTAGACAACAGTATTGATCAGTGGTAAGATCCATACATAGGTCACGCTTACAACTAATCATGAAATATGTATAACATAATATAGTACATTTATTTTTGACTGTTGGAAAATATATATTAATAAATAATAATGGTGTGTCACCGCCAAAGTGATAACCCGTCTGGTGTGGCGAGGTAGCGTGTTGGCAATGTGAGAGCGACTCGACGTTCGACTCCGACTGGACGTGGGAGAACTGGAAACGGGACGACTTAGCTCATTTACAAAGCGGTTAAGGAACGGCAGACTCGACTCGCGAGTTGCAATTATTCAGCGAAATATTAAACCTGACGCGCTATTCTCGGAGTCATTAACTTATCCTGTTAGACAAGTCAACGAATGGGGAGCTTGTGCAGAAAAGTGCATGAATAGGACTATTTTAAACACTGTGTGATCGTCATGGGTTCACAATAAAATTATTTTTACTGGTGGTAGGACCTCTTGTGAGTCCGCGCGGGTAGGTACCACCACCCCGCCTATTTCTGCCGTGAAGCAGTAATGCGTTTCGGTTTGAAGGGTGGGGCAGCCGTTGTAACTATACTTGAGACCTTAGAACTTGTATCTCAAGGTGGGTGGCGCATTTACGTCGTAGATGCCTATGGGCTCCAATAACCACTTAGCACCATGTGGGCTGTGAGCTCGTTCACCCATCTGAGCAATACAAATAAAATAAAATAAAAGAATACCTACTTGATTATACAAATTTTAATAAAAGGTGTTGGTGTTAATAAATAATTACAATTAATCATTATTAGAACATCCATTTATTATGATCGAAAACGTGTGCGCTATGGGAGGCGCCAATGCTGAGGAATGCGTACACATTGCGTTCAGTCCATCATCAGTATGCAGATCACGGATAGCTCGGTTACCGACACGTGTACGGGTCCCTGTTGCCTTGGCTAATTATTGGAATCCAGATGCATGTTATTATAATCGATACGTGACTATTCGAAAAAAGTATCGCGACATATCGATTTGGTAAAACAACTCGATTGTATTCTTGTGTACGTTTCATAAGACAACTTCACATGAATAACCAACAACATACTTTAAAAAGAACATTTTTTTCGATTTGAAGAACGTCAAATAAAGTGGAACTTAACTTGTAATGTCTAATTGTAATAAATAAATGATTAATGTAATAAGATTATTGGATATACTTTAATTTTTGGGAACTGAACAATAAGCATTAACTCAACCTGCCTCAACAATAAAAGAAAAAGCCTTGAGAGGTGTTTTCAAATTTATTTACCTATCGTGTTTGTATTTATGTGTTTAAGTGTGTCGTGAATCACGACCGCATTTATTTGGCACCCGATGTGTGTCACTGAACCTGTGAAGGTGCGAGCCACGGTATTCGCATGCCAAAGCTATAGTCAACAATCAGTAACTGTCGCGTATCCATGTGATAATCAAATATTCCGCACAATGAGAACACACCGTCTAGCGGATCGAGGATGATTATTATTGACATAGAAGTAAAATGGTAAATACGATCTTCTTGAGAAATCGTCGTAATGAAAAATTATCTGTGTATATACCACACATCGATTTGTGGAACGGATATACACAATAAAATGAGAACTTAAAATGTTTACATCGAAATGTGGTGTCAAAATTAAATTGAAAAATTACAGTTACAATTTGAGTGGTAGAATGAAAACAGATTGCATAGCGTCCATCATCAGTACGTACATATGCACATAATATAATATAATACATGCGACACCGATTATTGTTTCCTTAACGAAGTTATCGAACCAGGCCACGACACTACCACCTCATCCGAACACTTGTTAATTTATATCTATCTCTCTCTTCTAATCTTGCTTCGTAATTTTTAATGTATAGTACAGTGTGAATAGCAATTGTTATTAAAAGAACATTGCATCTTACTAAGCTCAAGACATTTCCACCGCACTCGTGCAGTGATTGACAAAAGCTTTTTTGTAATCAAATTCTTTTACGAACGTTGAGGTATTCATTGTTGACGTGAGATGTAATAGCGAAACTTCAATGACATGCTTCCAGCGACAACGGTATATTACCGAGTCCACACATCGTTAAGAAATAATATCTATCTCTATTCAGCACATACATCTCGGTTTGTAAATTAATAGTCCCGTTGTTATATAGCACGATAAATTTGCAAAATATCGTATGGTAAAATTTAAAATTTAGCTACCTATAAATCTCACTACTTCATTCGTTCCTAATAGTAGTATCCACTTCTTAGTTCTTATGCCGATTTCCCAATCTAATTCCTAACATTTCTAAGAAGTGACGTCAGCCCGACCTTGCCGGTCACCAAACATTAAGGATACATTTTGTTTGGGACAGAACTGCATTTAGTAGAATCAAGTAAAAAATAAGATATTATTTGAAGTCGTACACTACTAAATTTAATCTGTAAAATAAACTCTATCTCTTATCTAACTGTGAAAATGATATAATTTTGTCCATGAACCCACGCCGTGCGTTCAAAGTAACACACACTACTACAGTACATTGACCATCTTCTTTATTGTCCCATTTTGCTTTTATTCATTCATCAACATTCATTCAAACGGGTTGTTGTCCATTTGTACAATTAAAAAAATTAACGTGACCGTAATACAATTAATTTGAACTCTCTCTCAATTAGTTTTTTTTTTTGGCATATTGCACACGACAAACATAATATTTCGAATAACATTGCATCGATATTTTTCGACGACATCCAATGTTCAACACAATCGAGACAAATACGTTGTTGTTAATGGCAAAATTAATTATTATTATCGCATCCGTTCGTGGCCAGAATTTTTTGTGACTAATTGTGACTAGCAAAACAAGGATAGATAAAATAGAACAAAGGCTTCTGTTAAATAAATATTTTCATTAAAGTAATGATTTTAAAAAGTTTGAATTAAAAGTGAACTAAATTTAAATAGACTTGATTACTTTACGTTTTTTGGAGAATTGGTGTTTAGTGCTTTTTATTTTATGAATATTTTTACATAACCGCTAGCGATGAATGTTAAAATACCTTCGCCTAGGAATATGCGTGTAAAGGCATTGTAAAGTCGTTGCCCTGCCAGCCACTCGTTGAAAATTCAAGGGCGGATGACGGCGGAATTGCGTGCGCATCAAGCATGCAATCACAGCTACCGACTATTTCATCGTATGACTGTGGGAACGAAAGGTTTTTTCGCTACCTCTCATGATGTAGACGTAAATGTAACGTCCATTAACTCGATGGGAATGTTAAAAAATCTACGTGTTAAATGAATTCTCCACGCATCGCGTTAAATAGGAAAATAGCCTAATTTGCCAAACAATTAAAATATGTGCTTGTTAACGATTTTATAAGTTGATCTTAATGAATGAAGGTTAATGTAGTCGCGTCGTAATTACCAGCAATGTACTTACTTTTTTAGTACGTAAAGGTGATATATTACGTGATGATAAACAAGTAAATTTAAGCAGCATATCTAAAATATACTAGATGCATTCAAATGAGCTCTGTTAAAGTGTTTATATACTTCGTATATGCGATGGTATATTTATCGAACCAGTCAGTTTTCCGCTGAGATGACCTCATATCGCTAACCATTTCCTCTTGCTCTCATAATGATTAAACTGTTCTACTCTATCAAATTGCCAGGTTCTAAGTACGGAAAGGGTTTTTTTTTGTTTTGAGGTATCATTTTGGCCAGCACGAAATTCATGTACTTTTTATTACAATTTCCCATTATCTTTATGTATCACACTGAGTATACTTAAAATTCTAAAAACATTTTATAAAGCTATAATGTAGAGTATACGAAACGGATAGAAACAATCAAATTAACGAATTTAAATTCAGTGGTCAGTACAAACAGGCTTATTACTAGGGCATCCCACATACTATACGCTGTGACCATTATTTAATGTCAGACATAACCCACTTGTTGAAATGGCTCTATCTCTCTCGCCACCTATCTATCGGACGTCGTTGCTACTAGGTCAGAATGCTTTTAAATTTTAACTCAAGCGCGAATGCACAGAGAAGAACAGATATATTATTATACTAGCTGACCCGGCAGACTTCGTAGTGCCTCAATCGATAAATAAACAACCTAAACTTTTGTATAAAATAAACTTAAATCAAACCAAAGGAATCCGTCCGACGGGGGACACAACAAAGAAAAAACAAAATTGTTAAATTTATTTATTTCTGATCATTTTCATATTTATATACCTTTTAAACCTTCTCTGGGCTTCCACAAATAATTTAAGACTAAAATTAACCAAATCGATCCAGCCGTTCTCGAGTTTTAGCGAGACTAACGAACAGCAATTCATTTTTATATGTATGGATTATAAACATACGAGAATTAATTTTCATCTTACAATAGTGAATTATAATTTAAGATAGTATAATAAAACTGTATTTTCTTTTTCAGGATCAATATGATAACTTAGCCGCCCATACGCACAAAGGAATCGAGTTTTTAGATAAATATGGAAACTTTGTCAAGGAGAGGTGCGCTATAGAACTGGAATATGCAGGAAAACTCAGGTCAGTATAAATATTCATCACGTTATATTATCCTTCTAATAATAATAATATGTTAAGTAATGCAGGTTATATAAACTTAAAACGATAATGGAGTCACGAGAAAGTTTAACAAGGAGCAAAGAACTGGTTACACCAGTTTGATTATAAGAACAAAAAAAAACTGTCACTTTTACTATGCAAATAATATACATGTACAAGTTAGTTTTCGATTAAATGATTGCATGTACTATCTATTATAATTGATTTTGACATTGCAGGAGGCTTGTCAAAAATTATCAACCAAAAAGGAAAGAAGAAGATGAATACCAGTGAGTAACCGTTTTAAGAATAAAATAATGTGATTATTGGGATTATGTGTTAGTAGCTTAAAAAAAAGTGATTCTAGTATCTAATTAATGTAGCTGATGCCGTTGTCTTCATGCCCCGATCATCGTTCTCGTCGAACCCGTCGCTTGCGACGAAGGGTTCGGCGATTAAATTAACCCACAGACACAGCCCACTGAGTTTCACGTCGGATCTTCTTAGTGGGTCGCGTTTTCGATCCGGTGGTAGATTCTGCGAAGCACGGCTCTTGCTAGGGTTCGTGCTAGCAACATCATCAGGTTTAAGTCCTGTGAGCTCACCTACTAGCTCGGTGACGCTGATATGGTCTCTCTCTAGACCATCAGCTTAGGACGGTTTTTCTATTAACTGTATTCCTAGCTGTTAAGCGGCGACATCCCAAAGACCCCCCAATGTATGTATATGCTTCTGCCTACTTTGAGTGATTAGTTAAAATCTCAATCGAATTGATACAATGGTTGTGAAACACCACTGCTTCACGGTAGTAATGCTGTTACCGTACGTACCGTATAAAGAGAAGAAGAATAGGTAAAAAACTTTACTTTCTTAAGATCAGAAAGATTGCTGCCAGAACCGGATGATAGGAAGTAGCAGAAATATCCCGATCACGAAGCGCCCACGATCTTCGTTTAGAATATGACTAATAGGAATACATTTCATTCTTTTCATCTGGATTTTTACATCTGACGTTTGCCATGGTTAACAAGATGTATAAAAATAACCAAAAAACTTTCAGTTGCTGCAGACTAACTAATTTTTTGTTAAAATGGGTAATTCGCATTTTAAGAAATTCGATTAGAAAATAAGTATGCTGAAGAACAAATAATATTATGTTTACGTCCTGAGAAAAGAAAATGTATTCGAGTAATAAAATCAAAAGCTTTTATTCGTGTTACGTTTTTAGGTATACAGCATGTAAAGCATTTAAACAGTTACTGCAAGAGTTAGGCGATTTCGCAGGACAACGGGAAGTTGTCGCGGAAAATCTTCAATCAAATGTAGTCCGAGAGTTGCACCTGCTCGCCAAAGAATTGCGAGAGGAAAGAAAGGTTTGTTTATAATTTTCATTCACTAGTTCTAAACATGTTTAACGTTTTGAAGCAATTGATTGCACTCCGTTATGACTAGTATAGTTTTAGTGCTGTATTATCTATATCTATACTAATATATAAGTCTATAGTGGTTTTTACGGATGTTCCGTTATAACTACTGAACCATGCATCCGATTGACTTGAAACTTGGTATCCATGTAAAAATATATGTACGTAATGGATAGGCTAATATTTATATGAGTGTTGGACTCCCTACACCAGTTGCGTGAGAATCTTTGTAGGGGTGAGAAATAATAATGTTAATATTAAATGCCCAGCGAAGCGGACGGGTACAGCTAGTAGTTGTATAGAAATAAACAAGGCTATTGCAATATCAACAAATAAACCTTACGATTTTCTAATTATATACAAGGGATAGTGGAAATTTTGAATGATTTTTGTCCTCAACCATTTCTCTAAGTAGCAAATTTAAAATAAGCACATAAGTTGAACATTGTAAACGACAGTAAGTTGGTTAATAAAATACGACCACGATTCATTGAACTAACATTGCTTTGTGGTCGGTACGATAGTTTCTTGGAAATATAGATTAATACAAAACGTTATGATGTTTCTCTGTAAACAGTCAAGAGTGGACATGAACTCGCCTATTCCGCACGTGTCATGCTTGAACCCAACTACATTGTAATTTCAGATAAACTACACAATTGCACTAAGCTAAAACTAAAATAATTTTGCGTTTCGAATTATAAATAATAATTTTGATTTATTATTTCCTCGCTCCGAATAATCAAAGAAATGTCTATCAGCGTCACATTTCATTATGAGACCCACATACATTTATTTTTAAATCTATAAATCTTGTAAATGGAATGCAAACAAGTTTCTTAAGATATGCCGTTATTTGCATCGCGTTCGAGAATTTGTTCTGTGTATTCCTTATTACTGCTCGATTATATAATGTATCATCAAAACTGTTTTGTTAATTATCTGGCAAGCAGTTTGGCTGTGCTCCTCGCGTTAACATAAGTAGGCTATACGAGGGTCTTTCAACCACCGCGACACATTGGTGTGTTGCAAACCCCTATCAAGGATATCACGAGATTAACAAATACGATATTTTTATCTAAAGTGACACCCCCGAATTTGCATTTCTTGTATGTAAGTATGGTAATGCGTCGCTGAACAAAAAAATATTGTGAGTTTATAAGATGTCAAGCCAATCAATGTCAGTAAAAGAAATTGATTAAAAAAAGAAAGTATTGCCAAAATATGAACAGCTATAATTCTTCGGTCACAGGTCTAATAAGATGTCTGGGTGAATAATAAATGTCAGATTTACGGTTGATGTCGTGCTTATCTTGTTTCATTTTTTAGTTGGACATTTCGCATACTTTACAGCTTTCGGGGTCACGGAAGGTAAAATTGATTGCTTTTAAAAATCGACACCAATATGATGTTAACTGAATGATAAATATATTGAATTACTTATTTTCATTTATTTTTTTAATTGGTGAAATTCTTCAATAGTTAAACATGATATAAATTTCAAATTAAAGAAAAATATTTAAACTCATTTTAATTCATACTAACATATAAAAAATCTACAGTGGTTTTTACGGATGTTCCGTTATAACTACTGAACCATACATCCAATTGACTTGAAACTTGGTATCCATGTAGAAACTACATGTACTTAAGGGATAGGCTAATGTTTATATTAGTGTTGGATTCTCTACACCAGTTTCGGGAGCGGTAATGATGAGAATCTTTGTGGGGGAGAGAAATAATAATGTTAATTTTAAATGCCCAGCGAAGCGGACGGGTACAGCTAATCTATATATTATATAAAAATGAATTGCTGTTCGTTAGTCTCGCTAAAACTCGAGAACGGCTGGACCGATTTGGCTAATTTTGGTCTTGAATTATTTGTGGAAGTCCAGAGAAGGTTTAAAAGGTTAATAAATATGAAAATGCTCGGAATTAAATAAAAATAACAATTTTGTTTGTCCTATGATGTGTCCCCCGTCAGACGGATTCCTTTTGTTTGTTTTAAGTTTCTTTTATACAAAAGTTTAGGTCTTTTATTTATCGATTGAGGCACTACGAAGTCTGCTGGGTCAGCTAGTAAATTCATGAAAATCTAAAGAAATCTGATATTAAATATTTTTTAAATAATAAAATAAGTTTCGTTTTTTCCAGCAACATTTAAACGAAGGAGCAAAACAAATGGGAGTTCTGAACACTTCGATAGGTTCACTGGAACGAGCCAGGCGAGCGTACGAACGTGCGGCGAGAGAGTCGGAAAGAGCACTCGAGACCTTCCAAAAGGCAGACGCTGACCTCAATCTAAGGTGATTATCTAATAATACTGGCTCTCCCAATATTTCTCTCGACATTTTAAACATCTTGAACGTTTTATTTTATTTATTAGTTGTACAGCTCTTTTAAAGTTGTAGTTAATAATATCAAAGATACGCTGTTTTTGCCATTTGAATATTTGATAAACAGATATGGTCTCAAATGATTTCCACAAGATTTGAACATGATAACGTGTTAAATTGATCGAATTTTATGTAGCACAAATTAAATTTATTATTGTACTTAAAAATAAATTCACTATATTTTTATTTGTGAAAACATGAAATTTTTCGATGTTCATTCCAGGACATAAATAAAATTTAACGTGAACATTTGCAGTAAATGGCAACACTCGTATATTTGAAGCAAACGTCATACAATCCAAATGGCACACATGAGAAGTTCTATACGTATATTTTTATAGTTTATTATAAAGGCTTTGAAAATCTTGAAAAGTTTACTACTTAATTGCTGATGAGTGGTCACCGTCGCTGAAGGACGAACAAGCCGATGTCTACTGAAATTCTCGCGCTAACTTCATAGTTGAGTAACATTATACATACTAAGTAACATTATAAATGTACCCAACATTTAGTGTTGGCGTCTGCACGTGAACTGTCTACTTAACAGGCGTCGTGCGTCTACAATACATCACGACTGACAGTGCCTTTGTCTTGAACATGACGATATGGAGTTAATGCATAATGAAATTTATAAACGTTATAACGTATGCCAATGTTAAAAGACAAATTTATTTGAACTGGAGGTCCCGCAGTAGTCGAAATTCGACTATAATAATTAATTGGAATTGTAAGTTTGTACACTATTATGATTGTATTTTATACTTCTATAATCACAAATTTCGCCAAGACTACACTATAAAAAATATTAACAAAGACAAACAATATTTAATCTATTCTCAATTTGACAACAGACGTCAAGAACAAAAGTTTGACAATAAACAGTATGCATGCGTGTGTGCGTCAAATACATGGTATGTAGTGTGTGTAATGTTTTCTTTATTGATTTAATGTATCTTTTATGCATTCTTTTAAAAAAATATTAGCATTGTGCACTTCTTCTCTATATTCTCTATAAGTATGGAAAATTTCATACTCCTCCGTCCGCGCAATTTTCGTAAAAAGGGATACAAAGTTTTTCCTTCACGTATTAATATATAGATTTGACATTATAAGGAATAGTCTGTCTAGCTAATGAGAAAAAGATATAGGTAACCCTTTTTCTTCCCCCTTATTCGTTGCGATGTCCATGGATCCAGTGGCAACTTATTGCCAGGTGGGCGGTGAGGTCATCTGCTTATGCCATGTGGTTTTAAAAAGTATAGTGGTTATATCGATTTCCCAATCCAATTACCTGGTATTTCCAGACATTTAGGTCAGGGTTGCCTGGATGAAAAACTAAAATCAAAGTATATGGATATCATTGTATGTGGAACTCCCTTAAAGATTTTTTTTTATTGCTTAGATGGGTGGACGAGCTCACAGCCCACCTGGTGTTAAGTGGTTACTGGAGCCCATAGACATCTACAAAATATAATATACATAACAAAATACATATATATAAATTAAAAAAAGAAAAACAAAATATTCGTGACTATGTTTTATTGTGATGTGAATTATTTATAATCGTATTCTAAGGGAAGTCCCTATGGTATAACTTGTACCTTACTATAGATCTAATGAATCGTGTTCTATACTCGATATTCTATTTTTTTTTATAACGCCTAGACGCGTGAATAAGTTACGGTATTCTACCTGGTGTTAAGTGGTTAATACAGATCACAACGTCAATACCGCCCAACTTGAGACTTGCTCTATTTGCGTGTTCAAAATCATGTTAGGGTCACCAGTTTGGGAGGTTTAATGACAAAGTGAAAATCTTCTACCCAACTGGCTGAAATTGTTCGGTAGACCGACGATCTGAATGTTGTTGTTCGTAACTTGTATATATAAAAGCTTATCTTAAAAATGTTGTAAGCGAGATTCAGGTATCTGTCAAATATCTTGTGTACTATGATGGCTACCGATACAGTCAAGTCTCGACTTCAATTTCATCAATTTAGTAATTGCGCATATGGTTTCATTTTCATTACATTGTTATTCCTTCATCGTGGCAGCCATTCGTGAACACGTATTAACTACGTGATTCATTACAAGAATTGGTACTTCTAATTAGTAAAAAGTCGTTGTGGTTTAAAGGATAAGACGCGGGCTTCGTATCGAGTGATGCGACTGTCCATGTTCAAATTCCGCAGTCTTACTAATGAGTATGCACATTCTTAGATGAAATGAACGTGAATCACGAACTCGTGATTTTTTATTACGACTTTACGGGAATGTGCTAGAAAATTAACTGCGAACATTAAAACATTGGTCTTTTCCTTATGTGAATAAAAATATCATTACAAAATAAAGTTATTTTTCCTTAGAGTTTTAAAGCGCTATTTTTTATTAATTTAATCTAACTCTATTATATTTGCTTGTTACATATACGAGTGTGCTTTTAATTCTTACGAAAGCAGCCAGGTATATGGGCTACCCGTTTGTTAGACCAACATTGTCGATTTCCATTGGTAATAAACCGGGAACGAATCCAATCTGCTGCATAACGAACTGTATTCGGGAGTACTTACAACTTGAAAGTCTAATAAAAGCGTTTTATTGGTTGCGTTTGCAAAACGCACTCGTTTGTCATTGGAAATTAATAAATCTATATATTAATACGTGAAACAAAAACCTTGTACCCCTTTTTACGAAAATTGCGCGGACGTAGGAATATGAAATTTCCCACACTTATAGAGAATGAGTGCAGAATGCTAATACCCTTTTAAAAGTACGCATAAAAAATACATTAAATCAATAAAAGAAACATTACACACACTTAAATGTGTTTGACACTCACACGCATATAGAATCTTTTATTTATTGTTAAAGTCTGTGGGCAAATTGAGAACAGATTAATATTATTTCTCTTTAAATCTATGATTATAGAAGTATAAATAGTCTTTGACAATAGAATCATAATGTTCAAACTTATAATTTCAATTAATTATAGTCGAATTTCGACTACTGGGGGACCATTAGTAATCATTCAAATAGCAAATCTGAATAAAAATATGTTTCATAATATGTCAACCAGTCTATCTGGATATCAATCGGTGGAAGAGTTTAGGTCTCTGGTCACGTATTGCTTCTACCACTTTCCTTTCGTCCGTCCGTATTACGAGTATGTAGTTCACTTATTTTCTTACTAACTCCCTGACACCCATCTTGAGTGTATGTTGCAAAATGTTTTGTTTTTTTTAATCCGACACAATCACTCGTTCCCATTTGAGGAAACAGCCGTTGTAGTAACTTTGATTCTGGATAGATTGGACGTGGATTCTGCAATTTGATGCTCTTTACAAATGCATATTCCGCATTTTTTTTATTACTGAACGACCTCATGGCCCCCTGGTGTTGTGTGGTTAATGTAGCCATTAGATGTTAACAACGACTTCGAAGTCACAATTTAATAATAGTACAACGACTGCCCCAATCTTGAAACTGAAACGCATTAACTAGTGCTTCACGGCCATACACGTCCTACGACTAGCGATTTGACAGGATCAATAAACTTGTTTCCAGTCGGGCAGAGTTGGAGAAGCAAAAAGCGAACATGAAACTCAGGAGTCAGGCGTGCGAAGATGCGAAACAGGAATACCTAGAACAGCTTCGCAAAACGAACGAAGCCCAGAGGCAACACTACGAGCAGAGATTACCGCACGTGTTCAAACAGTTGCAAGTACGTGTAATGCAAGCCTTCATTTTGTGCATTAATTTTTATGTATATAGGCCAAAATAATTACATTTTATTACGTTTTTCCCTTCCGTTTGTCATCCGATTTTCTTCTTTTTTGTATTAAATTGCTATTAACGGGCTCTCATGTTATATATATATATATATATATATATATATAATATAATATTTAATATTTAAAAGCTTAAATACTTTTCCGTATCTTTATGAGAAAATATGTCGCGATGCCTTCATTCAGAGCAGATGAACCGAGAGTGCTTTATATTACATTATATATGCGATTTATATTACATTTGAATATGTTAAAATATTCTTATGTGCCTATATAATTTGATCGTTATTTTATTGAAGATCCGTGATAATTTCAAAGTTCATTATGCAAACATAAAGTTTCCGCCTTAAATTATTTAAGTCCATATAAAAAAAACATTTGAAAAAATAGTTCACGAAGTTTCCTTTGCACGTGAGCATAACATTATAGTATCAATGTCGCGCATCAGTCTCTTCGACATTAATATGCATAAGGTGAAATGATATCTCAGAAATTCAGATGATGATGTTTTTGCACTAGTTCACACGACTTTTTAACGTGTCGCGAGAATTTTTTTTAGAGAGATCATAAATATTTTAATGTGTATAAATATTATGAGCTATCGCTTCGTGTCCTATCTGACGAAGTCAAACCTGTGTATCTCCGGTTCACAGACAACCACATACATTTTGTTACATTTACGAACTGTTTGAAATTGAGATACAATAAATATAATCCATTATTGAAATCCTAGCCAAATTCGGTTATTTTATGTAAATAATCGACGGTGGCTACGCTTACATTCTCCAAAATGCATCGTTATTTAGTGTGCACTCTGGCCGAACGCCAACTAGGTCGGGTAGACAGATACGATTTTAAAATGCCTATAATTGTGATATGTGACGTAACCTGCTTTCGGAAATGTCGAAATTCAACAAATTTAAAAAATAAAAATGAAAAAAAAACATTGATGTGTTTTACAACGCCCGAATTTATGGAAGTTGCCCAATAAATTTATTTTTTCGTCGTAGGTAGAATTTGTTTTTTTGTTGTTGTTTATTCTATATTAATTTTCTTCGCAACAGGACTTGGACGAGAAACGAATAAAGAATATTAAGAACTTTATGTTAAGTTCAGTGGATGTCGAAAGGAAAGTTTTTCCGATCATCATTCAGTGCTTTGACGGGATGGAACTGGCCGCAAATAGTATTAATGAAAAAGAGGTAATTTAAAAATATATATATTAAATTATAATAACACAACTCTTATGAAAAGTTTTAAACTAGTTTTAGTGAAATTATATATAATATATGTATGTACTGTGAATTTTATTAACATATTTTATTCAAAGCCATTCACTTTTCGAGACTAACGAACAGAAATTCAATTATATATATATATAGATATAAACTGATAGTTTACTGGTGGTAGGACCTCTTGTGTGTCCGCGCGGGTAGGTTGCGTTTCGGTTTGAAGGCAGCCGTTGTAACTATACTTGAGACCTTAGAACTTATATCTCAAGGTGGGTGTCGCATTTACGTTGTAGTTGTCTATGGGCTCCAGTAACCACTTAACACCAGGTAGGCTGTGAGCTCGTGCACCCATCTAAGCAATAAAAAAAATAAAGGCTTAACGATTAAAGTTACTCTCTTCGTTTCCAGGACACAAAATTAGTTATAGACAGGTACAAGTCTGGTTTCGTTCCGCCCGAAGATTTCCAGTTCGAGTTGGCTTCCGGGGCAGACACAACAGACTCGGCGTCGACCCATCACCAGCCGCACAACCACCTGACGGCGTCCCGGGGGACCGTATCCGGGAACAAGCTAAAGAAACGCGGCGGTCTACTATCCATATTCAGTTCAAATAAGGTGAGGCTATAGAGTGGAGTGGAATGGTCCTGGAATACTTGAGACCTTAGAACTTATATCTCAAGGTGGGTGGCGGCGCATTTACGTCGTAGATGTCTATGGGCTCCAGTAACCACTTAACACCAGGTGGGCTGTGAGCTCGTCCACCCATCTAAGCAATAAAAAAAAAAGAATGGTTTGGAATGAGCCGAAAATATAATAACAGCATTGAATTAAAATAATCGACATTATTTTCAGATGATTTAATTTCGGAATTAATGCAATCATTCCCTGAATTATGGTTTATACACAGCTATAGATATAGAACGGTGGATAGTTAACGCGAAAAAAAAAGTTATGAAACACGGAATTGCGACTTTCATAGCGTGGATTTAAATAGTACTAAATTCTAAATAACAATCTACAACTCGGTTTTTGTTTTCATGTTATTGCCCGAGCAGGCAGACGAGCATATGCACACCTGATGGTAAGTGGTTACCACTCATGGACTTCAGCAATCTCAGGGGCAGAGCCAAGTCGCTGCCTACCGCTTTTTTGACTCGGATTACTCATTGATGAATGACATATTATTATCTACCACTGGTCAGTTCCAAAAAAACCGCAGTAGGGCTGGACCGATAACAAAAACTATGGTGTCTTCTTTTCTTTTCTCTTTTAAGCAAATATTGTATTTTTTATAACACAATTACAATTATTATTCCAAAACAATTAAAGAACGCTTTGGCATGTGACTCTATTTCGTTGAAGGTCGTTTCCTTCATGATACTTGTTGCTCAAAGGAAGGAAGGTTTTTTTTTCCTACCTGTGCTGAAAGCCTTGAGAAGCTATCTTATCACCTTGGCGTGTAGGTGAGCTCACGGGGCTCAGATCGAGTGTTGCTAACACTGGCTCTAGCAAGAGCAGTGCTTCGTAGAATCTACCACCGGATCGGAAACGCGACCCATTGAGAAGATCCGGCGAGAAACTCAGTGGGCTGTGTCTATGTGTTAATGGGAAGGAATAATGCGGAAGCGTCCTTGCATGCATTTTTAATTTTAATTCCGATCAAAGAATATTTTATTCGTTAGTTAGTAGTTCGTTCTCGTTTCGCCTTGGAAAAACATTTCTGCACACCCTATAACAGTTGGCAGGTATAAACAGTTGGCAGTGCCGTCACCGACCTTGAGTTGTGAGTTCGAAGTCACTGGTTCAGTATAAAATCGACAATTCGGATAGTTTTCAAACTAGTATAAAATACCAAACTAAATAGAATAACTATCAAAATATGGATTATTCTGTTAAAATAATAAAGTAATGAACACTTTTGTGCCGACTAGTACTTAGGTAATTGTAGCCATAGTAATTATAAGTGCAAAAGTGTTTTTGTGGTTTGACCCTCTTTCAAGAACCAACGTTGGTACATTAGTTTCGAAATACAAATTATATGCGGATGAAACTATTTCGCACTCCTAGTATAAAATAGAAAAAAAAAGCTACTGCTTAAGAATTTCGATAGTAAAATTGTTATCGTCAAATAATTATACGCCTCTTAAGAATTTTCTGTTTGAGATACTAACCGATCGTAATTAAGTTAAAGATTTTTTCTTTATTTAATTATAAAGGTTGCTTGATGGTTTATGCTTTTAGAGCTTCGTCATGTTATTATCTATTATATTCATTTGGGTATGCACGTATACGTATAATATATAATAGTATATTTATAGTACATTTTTTAAGGAATTTTGTGACCTGGTAACTAAGACCTTTAGGTCATGTCTTATTTTAATTTAAATTCTTATTTTTATGAAAAATGATATAATGGAGTGAAGAGAAATGAAGATGATTAATTTGAGACATTAATCAACTGGGATGAAATAAAAAGAAATGAGATGAGATGATATGGGATGAAATAAATATAATATCAGTAAAATGGTGGTCATTTACTGAGATTTTTTCAGTGGACTTTTTGGAGGATTCCGAGAAGTTACGTCCAGCGGCTTTGTTTCATTTTCACACATTTGTGCACTTTCACAGATATTAACAGTTAATAAACCACCGTTATTACACATTTAAACCTGAAGAAACACTAAATAGACAAAATAAAACAAATCACACAACTTCACTCCTCGCGTTACCGCCAAAAAGTCCAGCTATAGTACAGTAAAGTAAATCTTAACAGATTACAGTAAAGTACAATCTCAGCACTCAGCTGTGGACGCTAATCAATGTTATTGGTCTGTATAAATAAACCGTATGAAATTTATTTTTGTTACAAGTCTCAGTTTTACATCTAAATTGGAACACGAAACCTCAACAATCTCAATTTTTTTTTTAACAATCGAACATCAACTTTTGTTTTTTATTTAATACATTACTTATATAAATTGTGATTTTACATCGGTTTGCTTACATTTGACCGACTCGGTGGTGCAATAGTTAGCGGCTCTGGCTGTTGCGCTGAGGGTCGTGGGTTCGATTCCCACATCTGGTAAACATTGTTTGACGTATAGGTTTGTTTGCTCTTTCTCTGGGTGCTAATTATCTATATATGTATATATGTAATCTCTGGGACCGGATGACCGTGCCTGATTAGTTTCCAGCTGCTATTATTGTCACATGGAATTTTAATTTATTAATACAACGTACCGGTTTTACGTGGAGGTACTAATTATGTTTTTTCTTTTTCTTTATTTCAATCCCCGTACAATTCCTACCTCTAACACGGGTACAACACACGTTACAACGTATCGGTATGACGCGCTGCGGGCGGCTACGTTACTGATCTAATGGAAAACGTAAGTCGTCTCCGTCGATTGAATAGCACGAGCATGATGACTCACAAACTCACAATAAGATTAATTTACGTACACAAAAATATCCTTGTTATATTATACATATAATTATACATTAGTGTTTCATTATCCTTGTTAACTTTGCAAACACGTTTTGTTTTTGTTTTACTGTAAATACTACGTAACCTAGACAAACATAGCCGAGAAGTTTTAGTCTTTATAAAGTAAATCAATAATCTAATAAATAGTAAAGTTGTAAATCACAGACTCTCAAAGTCTTACTGTAACAAAACAATCACGTTCGAGTATTTTTAACACATTTTTTTTCTTTGTAAAGTAATTATAAGTATATACCTACTTAAAAACTTCTTCGTTTTGAGTTTGAAATATTAGATGACTTTGAGAATAGCTGGTCTAAACGTACGATATAAATACGTATATAGGTCCAAATGTTACGTAGTCCTAAACGAATAGAAATACTGGAATAAAGTCTGCAAATTAAAAAAAAAAGATTCCAAAAATACCTACTGCAGAATTTTATATCAACAACAATAAGGGGTTTTCCTCTACTAATTAATAACTATAGTTTTTTTTCTTTTTTGGTTTTTTTTTTGCAATTAATATAATATATGTTCTGAATATAAGTATTGTATTTTATGCCTTTGTTTATTTAATTTTATCTCGCTGTGTGCATAGTATCTATTGTTAGTATCGCTTTAATGAATATCGCCTTGGTGTTGCGCTATCATTTCAATTTAATACTTCGTTTCGACTGTGATCATAATATTCTAAGTACAGCTTGAAACGATGTCGGAAAACGGAAAATGTATTTTTTTAATGTTATAATTTAAGAAAAGTTTTTAATAAAAAAATTCCAATACGATATTTGTACGTATGAGTTGAGAGTACGTTATTTTTATTGAAAGCGAATTTTATTATTTAAAGTTTGCTTTTTTTAAAAATCGTTTTATATTTCCGACATCGGGTATTCACTGTACGTATACTCGTATCCTCTCATTTTGCCTAAGCCTAATATTTTTTGTTTGCCTCTCCTGCGCCTCGCTCCGCCGTCCTAACGATCTACCGTAGAAGATTGTCGAGGCGTGCAACTCTATAAAGGTCAGTCTTCGTTGGCGTGTTGATCTCTTGTGTTTCTGATTGTATTTTGTATTGACAAGAAACCAAAACATTCGGGTCTCAAATGAAAAGTTTAGGTGAGTTTAATCTGATCGTAAAATCGTAATTTTGATCGTCCCTTTAAAATTAATATCGATAATTAAATTAACCTTAATCAGAAACGAATAAAGAATGACACGACTGTTTGTTGCTTTTATGGAGGGTAGAGGTAAGGAGAACCGTCTCATATGGGAGAAGCTTGAAAAAGTGTCCCACTTTCAGCACTAAATAACAGTTCAAAAATCCTCCAGAATGGCGCTAGCATAGGCACAAGGTATGATATGAATTGAGCAGTTGTTAACTGATTGAAGTATGCTGGGTTAGGAAATTTAATATATTTAATGACTAGAGTAGTTAGTGACAATATAATATAAAAGACCTCACATGTTTACGTAGTCCAAACTAATTTCGTCAATATAACTTAAAATTATTGCTGTGGTAAAACGTGGAGACATCGATTGCATTTTCTTATTAGCTTTAAATATTAAATACTTTTTGTGATTTTGTAGTGCTTACAGTTCTTTCGTTCTTTTTTATTTCTCTATCTTATTCTAACAACTTTCAGCGCCTTTTTTAAAATTTATCCGGTTGCGACTCTAGTGCCACCCTTATTTAGCAGATTTTAACGGACACTTTACACACATAGACGGTTCTCTGGTACCTCTACCCTCCATAGTTGCTTTGTGTCGCTTGGTTTTAACGCAGGGCTGCCACGGCTTTGATTGTTATAGCGCACTACAGAATATTGATGTTCGTATATGTATATGTATTTTTTTTTGTCTTTTTAATTGTAACTACTACCTAACTAAATTGTTTACACGTCTATATTATATATTGTATATAATATTATATAACGCAACAAAAAAGGACGTGCTATATTGTGTTCTTCGACGTGAACAAAATGACGATAAAATAAATAAGAAAACGTCTATAGTTTAAGTGAGCGACGTTAAAACCTTTGGTACGATGCCTAAACTTAGGCCAACCAGACGAGATAATAAACGTAAACAAGCGGACCGTTACTGAGTTACATTGCGATAGCGAGGGATTATTATCTCTGTCCTTATCACTCATACGCGCAATTATGGCGTCAGTTGGGCGACAACCGCTGTCGTTGTGTGTTTCGTGGTACAGGAAAGCACTGAGCACCGCAGTTGTCAACATTTGGTCCGCCATTTTGTGAACAAGTTCATTCCTGTTTGGATTGCATTGGACAATTTTTATAGCAATATTGACAACATGATTGATAATACAATAGATAGTTTTATCATAAACACAGCTGACTCGGACAGCGATTAAAATTCGAACTTTGTAATAATTTATTTAAATAAAAATGTTTTTTACTCCTGAAACTTTGTTTACATATTTTATCTCGTCTGGTTGGCCTTACTTTAGTTTAGTTTTAGTTTATACTTCACGGGGTCATACTAAGATATGTTTGTGTTAACGTATTAATAATTTCAGGAGTTTTTATAAAGAAATGTACATTCTCTTAATTGATATCACCTAAGGCGTGTTGATATATACAAAAAATTACTACAAGAGCGCTAATCTACTCTTGTTTTGTGAAAGCGCGTATGAGTTATATGTGTGTTGTTACTTTTTTTTTTTAGATTAGCGTTGGTGTGAGGTTGCACTGTGCACGTTTCATTGGTTCTGTTTGAACACTTGCACTAATATTATTATTTTTTTCATTTTGTATATTTCAGAACAACATGTCTACGGATGGAAAGGAGGACTATTCAGATTTGCCACCGAATCAAAAGAAAAAGAAACTTCAAGCTAAAGTACAAGAACTCAGTAAACAGGTACACGAAATGTTAATAGGGCCACCCGCTTTGATATTCTCAATTAATATTCTATACTAACGAAATAAAGTAAGAAGGAAATGGAAAATAGTACTACGAGGAAACTAATTTTGTGAACTGCCTCATCTTTTGGCTTATTAAATTGAACATTACTAATTCCTTCCCATGCCAAGATATATTTAATATCACGAATAATATTCTCGAATCGTTTCGAAAGTTTTTGCATAGTGACGTCATAATTTTGTGAACCACAAAAGTTTTAATGATTGAAAATAAAATTTAGGTTGCGCAAGAACAAGCCGCAATGGAAGGTCTTATGAAAATGAAAGGAGTGTACGAAATGAGCCCCGCGTTGGGTGATCCAATGACTGTAGAAGGTAATATACTAAAGTTGATCTAATGAAATTCCATCCGCGACATATTTCAATAGATTATGACTAAGTAAGAAATAATCACAAACTATTTAATTTACTGCTTTGCTAGTTTTGTCATGAAAATATGTAGGAATTGCTACAACATGTGTTACACTCATAAATAAATATGTTCCCGTTTTTTGCGTAAATATGCAATACAATTAAGTTACAATCGCAAGAAATTAAACAAATAATTTACATGATGACCCGCTGTTTGGATATAAAATTTTATTTTATTATTATTGTGCCTATGTAGGCAAACAAGCCTAGAGCTCGTCTGATGGTGAGTGGTTACTGATGGTGGTTGATGAACGCCAGCAATGCCAACGGCATAGCCAAGTCGCTGCCTGCCGCTTCACTGGATAATGTCGCTCATGAGATCACAATTTTTAGGTCAACTTAACGAATGCTGCGATAAATTGAAGAAGCTTCGCTCGCAACTGAACAAGTTCGAGGAGCTCTTAGCCGAAGCGAACAGTCAAGTGAACGCGGCTAACTCGTTACACCCCGTCGCCAAGACTAATGGCGCGCCGCCCACGCAGGCTACAAGGTAAACGACACGGACGCCATTATTTTTTTTTTTTTTTTTCTTTTAGACGTCCTAGCATACGGCCTACCTTATGGTGAGTGGTTAACGTCGCCCATAGACGTTAGCAATGCCAGGGTCAGAGCCAAGCCGCTGCCTACCGTTATTTATTCTCCACAAGCCTCGTGTTGCGTCTTATTTCTTATAGGTATCTTGAGGTGGCCAGAAAAATGAATAAATGCCTTTACTTATTCAAATACTAATTATATTGGTTTTAATTATTTTACATAAATAGAATTGACATGCGCCTGCATCTTTTTTCTTCGTGTATAATTTTTTAAATTTTGACAATTGGTGCCACTATGGCGTTTCCTGATTTGTTATTGGTTCGTGTGATATGACGTCTCGTTGCCCAATCACAGCTATCAATGTATGACGCGACGTTGAGTCGTTAACACCTCGTTTGCAGAAGGACATGTCATAGCGCTCGGGAAACACCGTGGAGGGGTAGCCTATTCTAAAGCCCGAAATAAATAAAATATAATCATAATTTATTATCAACCATTTGAGTGCTGAGCTGAGAGTTTCACTTTGCAGAAATTGCTAAAGGATTCTTGAAAAAAAGTACCTGATGAAAACCTTTAATTTTAACATTAAATTTAATGATAATAGATTTGAATTTGTTTCAATCGAATAAGCATAATAATTTGTTTGCATTACCTAATGGAAAAAATAAAAAGTGACGTTTTGTGAGACGTCATTTTTATTTGGACAACACACACTCGACGCATTTACCGACTTTATTTCTAGAGCCCATTGGATTCGCACATTCCATGCGTACTGTATGCACACATTACATCTTGTCACGATAGGCAGTAATATCACGAGAACAGATATTTTAATACATAAGATTTTAAAGATAAAACGTAACCTGTAAAGTCAAACAAAGTTAAGCATGAAATAGCATAATAATGTATGTCATCGTTAGAAAATTGCAGTTTTTACTCTAAAAATATAATGTGTAGCAAAGTCGAGTTGCCATAATTGGACCCCATAGACACAGCCCACTGAGTTTCTCGCCGGATCTTCTCAGTGGGTCGCGTTTCCGATCCGTTGGTAGGTTCTGCGAAGCACTGCTCTTGCTAAGTTTTTTTTTTTTTTTTTTTTTTTTTTTTTTTTTGGTTTTTTTTTTTATAGCCTTTCCCGATCGTGAGATCACCGGGTCTTTTTTAATCTAGTTTACTCATTCATTCCAGTTCTCTCTTTTATGCTTCTCGCACTTTCATGCTTCATACTGTTTCTTTCTTGCATTCATCATCTGTCATACTTAGCCGGGTGGGACTCCCGCTAGCTTAACCTATTATTGTTTTATTTTTCTTTCGGGGTAAATAAAGTTATGCTCATTTATTGATTACAGAAATATTGTTTGAAACTTATGTCTATTTTTAAGCTTATACTATTTGGATCTTATCTACATATATTTTTAACAATTGCAATATTATTATCTTATTTCTATTATTTACATTTTAGCTTCTTATTCTACTGCTTATTCTATTCCATACATATTCTGCCGTTCCTATGTTTTTTTTTTTTTTTTCATTTCTATTCTAGTTCTTTTCTAACAATACTTACATATATTCATTATGTTTTTGCTTAATATATTGTATGCTTATATCTAATATATCTTAATATTATTGTAAACATACTTTATTTTCTATTTATTTCTTTTAATTACTATTTCTATAATATCTATGCAGTATTTCAAGAACTGTTTTCTATTCGTATCTACTATTATTTCATGCAATGTGTCGAGTCTAACCTTCACGTTCAACTTTTGCTCGATATCGTATCTAGCCCGTGCAAAGATGGGACACTCCACTAATACATGAGGAACAGTTTCTTTCATTGTTGGGTCGCAGATGCATGACGGGCTCTCTTTACACTTAAATCGACATAAGTATTCCGAGAACCCGCCATGCCCCGTCATGATTTGCGTGAGTATGTTACTGGGCTGTATCTTTCTCACTATTCTGTACGCCACCAATGCATCTGGGAAAAACAATTTAGTGACGGATGCCGTCTCACCAGTTGTATAGCGCCGGTTCCATTCCTCAAGCGTGGTCATTCGTAGGCTTCGCTTGACGAATGACTAAGGTCAGTGTTAGCATCACTCCGGTTTGAGCCCCGTGAGCTCACCTACTAGTTAAGGTTACGCTCGTGAGCTCACCTACTAGTTAAGGTTACGCTGAAATAGCCTCTCCAGGCTATTAGCTTAGGTAGAGAAAAAATAATAATAATAATTGGACTATCGTTTGTTCCAGTATCGGATCGAACAGCGAGTCCCTGTCCCGCTCGGCGTCGGAGTCATCTGTGAGTACGGGCACGGGCACGGGCGGAGGGGCGGGGGTGCGCGCGGCGGGAGGCTCACCCGAGTCCGGCCTGGGCGGGGAGCTCGCCGCTGCACACACAGACCACGCCAACGGCGAGCACGACCAGGACGACCGCGAGTCCGACCTCGACTATTACTACTGCGAGCCCGACCTGCAACCCGTCGGCTACTGCAAGGCGCTTTATGCCTTCGAAGGTGAGCGTTGCCTACATACACAACACCATACCAATTTATATTTTTTATTAAAGGATTTTATGACCTGGTAACTAAGGCCTTTAGGTCAAGTCTTATTTTAATGATGAAAATGATAATATGAAGTGTAAAAAATGAAATTGATTAATATAAAACATTGCATGAAATGAAATGAGATGAGATGATCCCGAGAATTCCCACATTTGTGCGCTTTCACAGATACTAAACAGCTAATAAACCACCGTTATTACGCATGTAAACCTGAAGGAACACTAAATAGACAAAAAATAATTGAAAAAATTTAAAAAATTAAATTCAACTAAAAAATGAATATAAAAAAATATTAAAAAAAAAAAAACAAAAAAACACGGTTTATATAAAATTCAACAAAAAAATAAAAAAACAATTGTTGTTTTTTTATATTGTTGGTTATCAATATGTGTAATTTTCAGATACCTGATGAAGGTCTAATAAAAGACCGAAACGTTGCAAAAATAATAATGTAATTTGTTATTATGGTCCTATCTTGTCCACATTCCTGAGATACAAAAAATATTTTATAATAAATTTAAATTGAAAATAGTGTAAAAAAAAATATTTTATTAAAAAAAATTTTTTCTTTTTTTAGTAAAATTTCAATTTTTTTCAATTTTTTATATATTTTTTTTAATTTCTTTTTAATGTTGTATTGTCATCGGTCCTCGATAAATCTACAAAGTTTGAATGAAGTCTGGCCGTTTAAAGTGGGTCAAAATCGCGTATAAAGGAGTCAGTTACAAAAATACAAAGATACAAGTGAAGCTAATATAAAGCGTGTAATAAAACAAATCACACAACTATACTCCTCGCGTTTCCGCTAAAAATACCCCATCATATCAACACCGTTCTATAGCAAACAGGGCAGTGCTCACGTCCAGTGTTGGTTGTTTAGGTATCGGCAGCGGGTCCACGATGCGGATGGAGTGCGGCGAGCAGCTGCTGGTGCTGGAGACGGACGCGGGGGACGGCTGGACGCGCGTGCGCCGCAACCGCACCCGCGAGGAGGGGTTCGTGCCCACAACGTACATCGCGACCACGCTCTACTCCGACGCGCAACACTAGCCGGTCAGTTACATACACTCTACTTACATTTGAGTCGACTATTATCAAAGCCGGCAATCTGACTTTTGGATAATTATTGGTAAATCAGAAAAACGAATTATTGACTTTGTATTCCATTGGCAGTCACAAAACTCTTCGGAACGGCATCTTAGATAAATAACAGGTTAACTATTAACCTTTATTTAATGCAGGTTTTGAACCGTAGTCTTTGAAGGAGACGATTATATTCAAATCAATCTGTATTGACATATCAATAACATTTTTTTGCCCAAATGCACAGATTGCCACCTTTGATAATAGACGACTCATTTTTGTTATCTTTTGGTAATGTTACTCTAATGAAATTAGGTTTTGACAATATCATCAAACTAATTATTATGGCCTTGCGAGTATCGTAAAAGGCGTCGTGTCCTAACGGATAAGAGGTCTGGTGCATTCGTGTTGAGCGATGCACCGGTGTTCGAATCTCAGGCGGGTACCAATTTTTCTAATGAAATACGTACTCAACAAATGTTCACGATAGACTTCCACGGTGAAGGAATATATCATCGTGTAATAAAAATCAAACCCACAAAATTATAATTTGCGTAATTACTGGTGGTAGGACCACTTGTGAGTCCGCGCGGATAGGTACCACCGCCCTGCTTATTTCTGCCGTGAAGCAGTAATGCGTTTCGGTTTGAAGGGTGGGACAACCGTTGTAACTATACTTGAGACCTTAGAACTTATATCTCAAGGTGTGTGGCGCATTTACGTTGTAGATGTCTATGGGCTCCAGTAGCCACTTAACACCAGGTGGGCTGTGAGCTCGTCCACACATATAAGCAATAAAAAAAAATAGTACTCCGTTAGTATGATGTGTTATGATGTTTCCAGGGACAGCAGCGCGCCCGAGTCAGATGACGTCACGCCGCCCTGGACACTTCACCGCGCCGGGAGAGCAAAAAGCCTTCTCTAATTATAACGTTCTCGTGGCCTATAATATAATAACACATATTTTTGCTATAATTTATCGTAATGAAAATGTTAGCATTATTTTTTTATCGTGCCCTTTGTATTCCAATATGTAACGGCGCCGAATAAGGACGTGAATGGACTAAAATCATAATAACATTCCATGATCTATTTATTGTGTATATTGTTGGTTATATTACATACATATTTTTCATGTATGATATATATACCGTATTAGGGTAATGTTAATTGTAATGTGTAACTCTCGTCTAGATTTTCATTGTGCCAGCCCTTTTTACATGTTAAGGTAATCTTTTGTACTTACGAATAGTTATTTTTGTTTGTGTTTTTTTTTTATGTGATTCATCCTATGAAATTATAGCAAAAATAGTATGAAATGAACTCAAATGTGAAATGTAAAATATTTAAACTAATGTTGTTTATGTGAAACTATGGGACTTCATAAACTGACTTGAAAATGAGTATTGTAATATCCGATGTCACATAAAATAATTGTATAATGCTTATGTTATTACTAAATTTACGATTCTAGTTGTTAATGCTAGCTAAATGTCGCAATTAGCTAATGCTATTTTCTGAATATATGCTGTATGCGAGGAACGTATAGTTAATGTATTTATAAGTGGGGAAGGATGAATGAACGTGTATAATTTTTCTATAAAATAAAACTGTAAGAAGACATTTCGATTTTTATTTTGAAAGCTACAGAAGGGAAATCCGTCGTGCAGATCCATCCGCGTCGCTGGGCGTTCATAGGTAATTAAAAAAATCCGTATTTTATCTATTTTGAAGTGACCAAATAGACAAGTTGGATTAATTATCTTCAACATAATGAGTTATTGGAGATTTATAAGCCCATTCTAAGAACACTGTCCAGGAGTTTCATTTGTATTGTTTTGTTTTTATTTGGTGGTTATTGTGGTGAACACATTTTGACAGTATTATAACGAGCTTATAAAATGCCAATAAATTATTTAAACTATGTTACGGAAAACGTATTTTACTTTAATAATATGTTTCACTGCACCCAGTATACAAGTATGCAAAGTATGCTAGTCCGCTTTTAAAAACGAGATTGACGAAATCATCTTATACAATTCCTTGTAGCACTCCTCATGGAACATACGGAAAAAACAGAAAGGAGAACCGAAGATAACTTTACGTTCTTTAGAAAACGAGATTATTGTCCTCTGTATGGAGACGAATGGAAGTAGCTAGTAGTTTAGGAGCCCTGACTTAGTCCTTACTCTACACAAGACAAAGACAACATTATAGATGCCAACTATGCTCTGCTTGTCAAATACGCTGAACACTCACGCCAAAACACCGACCCCATGAATTCTAACAGCTTCGGCCCGGTAACCGTACTCGTCGAACTCGATAAAGAGGTCGACGTGCAACCTAACCCATGCATCAGCCCGTTGAGTTTCTCGCCGGATCATCTCAGCGGGTCACTATTCCAATCCGGTAGTAGATTCATTCGCGAAGCAATTGCTCTTGAGTTGTTAGGTCTCCTTCGGAGGTGCTCTAGCAGATGTTAGCAAATCCCACCTCTCCTGGCTGAGCCTTTGCTCGCTCACCTACGCTGGTAATACTGGAAAGGCCTTCGGGCCACCAGTAATGTTTCAATCATAAAAAAAAACATCTTCGGAAGGTTTCGTGATGCTCCTTGAAATGCGGGTCCATGACACATATCCTTTGCAATGAACGCGTAAAACTGTTTGACACATTCGGACTCAGAACAACAGCACCTAATCTCTCGTAAGTGTCCTAAAAATAGACTAAGGGTTTGACCGGCGACTGAATAACAACTTCTGTGAGTATTAAACACACCTATATAACTACGACCGTCTACGAGAATGTACATGTGGTAGAACTTTGTGGGCTCGTAAAGGTAAGATAAGTATCTTAAGGTAGCGGCCAAACCGCTATTTCGACAAACCGGCGCGACACGATAACCCTCTTATGATGGCCGCCCCTAAGCGAACAAACCCATAGACACAGCCAACTGAGTTTCTCCGGATTTTCTCAGTGGGTTGCAATTCCGATCCGATGGTAGATTCTACGAAACTTTGAACTTGCTAGGGCTAGTGTTAGCAAATTCTCTCACGTTGAGCCCGTGAGCTCACCTACTCGTAATGGCGTAGCTGGAATAGCTCCTTCGGCTTCTAGCGAAAAGTTAAGGGAAAAAAGTAAGATAACCACTCAGCCTGCTCTACTGTAAATCAGTTGTGCATTCCGGTTCGTAGGATGTTACAGTTGCTCAGCAATAGAATCGAGACTTTAATTCCATGTCTCATGGTAAATAAAAAATTGTGCGTTTCGAGAACCACATCAAGAACAAAATTCTTTCTAGAAAAAATCCATTATCTTTGTTCACTGATCGAATCTTCATAGTCGTATGTACACACATATACACTCATACGTAATGGACTCTAAAAATAAATAAAAGAGAGAAAGTAAGTGAGAAATTTGCATGGACGGTTTTTGACAGTTTTTAACGGTTTTTCGTTACGTGACGTTTTTATCAGCTAATCTGGGCAACGCAGGCTTTGAAGAATTCATTCCAAAAAACAAATGTAAATAATCTAGATATAAACGAAATATGTAGATAATAACTATTAGATTGGATCTGCCTATTTTAGCTACTGAGATACACAGGTACTGAGCCGGAAAGCCGCTTGAACAGTAGGTACGCTTTATGCTTGTCCAAAGTAAGCATTTTTAGATCAGGCGTAAAAATACCCTTCGACAGTAGCATGCTTGCATTGAATTGCATTACATTTACAAGAATTTCTGATGTTCCTTTCTAAAAGTCAACTAGGGCAACCTTGTGGAATTAATAACTTCATTATTATTAAGCTAAGTGACGGAATAAAATTACAATCGTGATGACAATAAATAGGACACGGTTAGAAACGACTTTATTTTTAATTAAGATCACCTATAAAAATATCTACATTTTTCTGAAATGTATCACGCTTTTGTGAGAAAACAATTTTCAACTAACGAAATGTTCACGAAAATATTTGAAAATAAATTGATAACATTAAATTCCCCGAAATGAAAGGAGCCGAATATTAGTTTCGTTCAGACTTACCGAGAGAACTTTGTTTTATGTTTTAAGGGATGTCTGAGGGTCTCAAAAGTTTTAAATACAAACTGGACGAGCTCTGATCTGGAAAATTTCAAAAAGTTTAAAACATGAGTTTCAAGTTTAAGCGTTACGTAAGTTATACGAAATTCTAGGATCTTGTATTATTTCAATAGAATATTCTAGAGAGTAAATTTATCAACACTTTCACTGAAGTTTAACTGTGCACTTTTACACATGACTAAGCAAATTTGTAAACACGTATTTCCGAGTTCAAATCCGGCTATGTTACAAAGTTGAAAGAAAATGTACGACTGTAAAAAAGTAAAACTTAATGACTTTTGTGTGGATCACATTCTTCAGTATGTATCTAGACTAAACGATACATATTTAAAATTCAAGAGCAACATTTTCTTTAATTTTTAAATACATCTGAAAATCTCAGAGACTTTTTTAGTTTAAAGATCTAAGGGCAACAAGTAATTTAAAAATAAACACTTTTTTATGGCTTAATCTGTTAGTTTCCAGGCCCTTTCACTACTATTATCAAATAAATTTAAAAGATTATATAAACATAAACTTTTAAATTTATTAGATAGATAAGAGGTTGTATATATATATTTAAAGATAATAATGTTTAAAGATATGATATATACAGCAATATACACAACCTCTTATTTAACAATATTTACTTATCCTCATTGCTCATTATGTCTATTTGATTTTGCTAAAAAAAAAAGTATAATTTGTGGTTCGCATGAGAGTCGAGGCAGTTAGTTACATTACGTTCGTTGCTCCATTGGCCGAGTGCTGCGCCTTCCGTGTCATGCCACGCAACTATTACATAATTCACTAAGCATGCTGTATGATGGGATTAAATACTCTCGTTCATTGCTTGATTCGAACCAATTTACAGGACGTTTCATTGTTCAAAATGAACAATGTACATAACTTGCACAGTAATTCTCCTTTTGACGAAAGTGTGGGCTTCGTTTTATGTCTTAAGTTAAACGGGTTTTGCAGGAAATGCGGGCCGAACGCACGATCCCGAGGTCGGGGATTGAGCAAAGCTTTAAATAACTTTCGTTCCCGACTAGAATCGTCATTTATCGGCATCAATCACATTTAAATTAAAATTCCAAATATTTTTATTTTGATGCGCATCTACACCCTCCCTAATTGAAGTAAATGTACCTAGTGTTCGCAATAAGACTGGTTGAAATATTGAGATAAACTTTTAGCATTACCTAATAGCATTTAGCATCTGTTTAATTTAAATATCGACGATGAGACAAGACATTGCGTATGACGCTTTTTTTTAGCCTATCACTATCTATAAACATCATAAAATTAGTCACCCAAATTAAGTAAAGTAAACTATATAAGGTCGATATAAAAATAGTATTGTATACAACTGTCCTAACTTTTGAATAGGAACGATCTGCAGCAGTTGCTCGCGCTGAGTTGAGAGACGTTCAGGCACTTGTTAGCAAACCCCTCCTCAAGTGAGTAAACCCTCGAGCTGGCCTGCCCGCTCCAATCCGTTGTGACTCATGTTAGGTACGTAGATAGGTACGTATTTACTTGGAAGAATTGTAGCTACATTTGAACTCCGACATAACTGCATCGATCGACACGAATACACCGGGCGTCTAACTCAAAATGAATACAAATATACAGACTACAGACATATCAATTAAGCTACAAATTATAATTTGCGTAATTACTGGTGGTAGGACATCTTGTGAGTCCGCGCGCGTGGGTACCACCACCCTGCCTATTTCTGCCGTGAAGCAGTAATGCGTTTCGGTTTGAAGGGTGGGGCAGCCGTTGTAACTACCTATATACTTGAGACCTTAGAATTTATATCTCAAGGTGGGTGGCGCATATACGTTGTGGATGTCTATGGGCTCCAGTAACCACTTAACACCAGGTGGGCTGTGAGCTCGTCCACCCATCGAAGCAATAAAAAAAAGTGAATATTGAAAAGAAACACAACATATGAAACATTAATTTGAATCAACGAGATTGAAATGTTTGCGAGAGAATAGTCTAAAATTGTACAATAGAAACACTGGTTCGTACATGCTATTAAGTATGTAAAACACACTAAACAAACTAACATCTCATACGCGATTATGTAAAACACTTAACTGTTTATGTAATTGCTGATTGCTTGTAGGATTACATTTCTTTTTGTTAATGCATGTTCTATTGTTAATGGATGTTCTATTGTTATAGTGTATGCATGTTAGATATCGTTATGCTAGATATCCCAAAAGATATTGATACCGAATTATTGACTGACCAATGAATGATTATGTCTGTTTCATGAAAAGTCAACAATTTAATCTTATAATAGATTATACCACCATGTCAGGAGTATTAATCTAAGGATCTCCCTTTTTCTTATTTGAATCTAATTTGACTAATTAAGATTCATTTCATTGTTTATTATATTGGAAATAATGTTATTTTTGTAGTATTCTCTTTGGCCTTCGCGAGTCGTAGACTTAAGACTTAAAACTATTTTAATGGCTTAATGTCGCGTTTATTATTGTCATTCTTCATATTTCCAACGTTTCCA